CCTGCCTGGGTGTTGGATGAATTGACCAGCTGACCACTATGCAATGGATGGCAGGCGGGGAGAAAGGGCTTGCAGGGCAACACCATGGGACAATCCAGGTCAAGTTAAGAGTGCTTTTGCTCCAAGGGAGAAAGAAGTTCTGGCAATTCTTTGAAAACAGTTCTGTGACTCCCTCTCTTAGCTCCTACAGTGGGGCCCCACACAGACAGGCTGAGCACAGCGGAAGGGCGGGCTGTATGCCACCTGCTCTAGGGAGGCTGGAATGAGCACGGGCCACAAGGTCTAGGAGGCTTGGTTGAACCCATCTTTATGACTTATTTGCCCTTGGTGAGGATGCAACTTCCCTATGCTTCAGTTTTCTCATCCATAATATGAGATTCAGTCCACCTATTGAACTTTGAACTTATTTGGAGGATTTATTTCTTTCCATGATTATTTCCCATCTTCCTATAGTTAGAGGTAAAGTTTTTATGTATTTCTTAGTTTCTTTAATATATTAAGCCCTGAGAATTGCGTTTAGCATGTTGTAAATGTTCAGCAGGTACTTATGACTAATTTAGTGATTAAATTACATAATTCATATAAAATACCAGGTGCCATGTGTGGCCCACCATGGGGTCCAAAGCAAGCACATAATATTTGTGTAGGTATGAGACATCAGGAAGACCCTCGGAAGAAACTCAAGAATCAGCCCCTAGAATTATATGTTGGAAAAATACCCTAAATTTTCAGTGTTAGATAATTAAGAAAAAAAGGAATGCTAGCAGTGCTGTGTCAAAATAGCAAAGAACAGAGAAGACAATTTGATTTCTTTTCTCTCTCTTTTTTTTTCTTTGTCTTTGTTGGTAAACAATTGTCAACACAGAGCAGGAGAAACCTAGATGCAGGACCCTTTGAAATTTGAGAATCCACATATACCTGTACTTTTATTCAAAAAAAACCTTTAACAATCAGCTACCAAAGGTCAGACACTGTGCCATCCTGGAAAGGCTCTCAGACACTGGATATGGTGTCGCTCTCTTTGTGGGTGCCGGGAGACTGGGGGATTAGAGGAACTTTTATTCTAAAAACAACTTCATTTTAGGAAGGTCTCTTTGAAAAGTTTTATCTGAAACTGCTAGACTCACCTGTCCTGGCTAAGTCCTTTAAGCTTACAGAAGTCACCCACTTTCTGAGGTGTCACCCAATACACTGCCTAGCAGTCACCTATAGTGATTTGGTTGCATATGGAAAGCATTAAAAGTTTCACTTGGGGCTAAATCTTGCCAACTGATTCTTCTCACATTCTCTCCAGGGCTGATGATGTCTCATTGTGTTAGAGTAACTACATGAGAAAGCTGTTCCACTGATTTCCTGAGAACTATGGCCTCACAATAAGTCAAACATATCAGAACGAGGAATGTACTGAACAGATATTGTAAGGGCAATGACCAAGTTGCTAGAGTATTTTGTTCAGAGAGGAGGGGTCAGACCTTAGTCATAGGTGATAAGTTGTTCCTATTAGGTGAAGACTCAGCTGCTCCTAGACTACAGGCTGTTGACTCCAGGTTTTATGATCCTTACTGAGTGCAGATGAGTCCTTACTGAGTCCGTTCCTTACTGAGACCAGAATAATCCCTTGCAGGAAAGAGACAGGTGCTGCTCAGTTAGGAACACACACCTACTTCTGCTTTCTTACGAGGAATAAAACAGTATGTGATCCTACTCCTTTGAATCAGTGCAACTTCTAAGGGAAGAGAGCTAAGGAGTGGTGAGTCTTTCCCTGTCTTTCTAATAAGAATAAGATAAATTAGTTAAGGCCAGAGTTCAGATGGCTGATATTTTGTCACAGGCTGTGCACACTAACTTTTATGATTTAATGATTTCAACCCAAACTATGTTGAAATCTGACACTGACAATATCCTTAACGAAGGTAGTACTGCTTCATCCTTTAAAAAAGTAATGAACAGATTATAAATTTTAGAGTCAGAAAAACTGGGTTTAACTATAAATATAAATATAAACTTAAGTACGTTACTTAAACTCTCTGATCCTCATTTTCCATCTTCATAAATAGAGACATTATTAGTACCTTGTAATTTTTTTATTGTGAAGTTAAGCCTATCCTAAATGATCAAATTTACAGTAGGAACTCAAAATAACTTACGCTTGTTATTCTTTTAAAAGAAATCATGGGCAAAAAGTGAAATGAAAGAAGGACATCTAAAAGGTTTTCAGCAGCGTTTTATTCTTCATTTTGAAATGACTTTCTTTCCAAGCAATAGATTTAAAAGCTTTCACTTTTATTCTAATATGATAAAGATGGTGTTTACAGTTTATGAACACAAAAAGAAATAGCACTGTATTTCAGTGTCAAAACAATTTATATTACTAAAGTTCCAAGACCTGTGGTTCTTACCGTCTTCAGCTTATTCTTCTGATTCACCTAACAAGAACACAGTTCACAGCAGTTCAAAGTCCTAATCGAGAACAATGAGATAATTGAATTTCATGCAACTTTAGTTCTAACCAGTTCCAGCTCCAACTTTAAGGAAGGAGAAGTTTTGCCAGAAAGTTTTATAAACGATCAACATCTGAAACAGATTCAAATCAAAACCATTTATCCAGGACTTACTATAGATAGGACACAAATAAGGTATAGTATCTCCTTGCCAGAAGATGAAAAATATAGTGGGAAATGTAACAGGCAGGTTAAATATGGATTCGTCATGTGTGAGGGTGTTCCATACTCTCTGATCACATATGGTTAAAATAAGATGCTCATATAAGATGCCCAGACTAGACCAGCAGTCTTTCTAACGTTTCTCTTCTTGCTATTTGGGGCCATCTGATATTATAACCTGTCGCACATGAAAGCTATGGCTCTTCAATTCACCTTGCAGCTACTGATACATAAAAGGAGAGGAGAGCAGTAGGGCAGAAGAAAACGCCGAGCTGGCTTTCTTCCTGTGCTACTTTTTGACATCTTTTCATTATTTAATTGAAAAATTGACTCTTCCTTTAAAGACAAGAGGGTCCAACAACATGACGTTTGTATTTCTATGTTGGAAAATACACATTGTGTTTCTTGTGTGTCTGTTTATCCTGTTCTTTTTTATAATAACACAATGATGTATCCTTAAGAAAGCTTCAGGCGTGTAAGAGCAACCTAATTCTTTTTGTAAATACTATCCTTACAGAATCAAGGTCTTTTCAATCAAGATCCTAGATTCTAGGAGGCAAATGGAAATAAATGACACAAAATTCTTGAATAGTCATTTAAAAAAATATGTTCGCGGAGTTTTCCATTGACCTGAATAAAACGTTTCTGTAAATATTTTAAACGCTAAATTCAGCTATTTAAAAGTGACTGTTAAGCCAAAGCAAGCTGCAGCAATGTGATATAATGGATAGAAACTTACGTCTATTACTCTCCTTAATCCTTTATCATCTAAAAAGAATACTTTTCATGACACAAACACACACATAGTTTAATTGGAGAAACAATGTGTGCTTAATGCAGAAAAGGTAAACACCAAGAAATACAAAGGAAAAGAAAAAGCCATGATTTTACCACCTGATTGACTATTATCATAGTCAGACGTTTTTCCATGCCAAAGTGCAATTAGTGATTCAATAAATATATATTGTGCTTCTATTCTGTCCAAGGCAGTATGCTAGGAACTGGGGAGACCTCTATAAAGATGAAGTTGTTGTTACCATTTGGAAGTTATTTTTTTAATGGGGTAAGATAGAATGAAATTTACAAAATTATTTTAAAACTTATTATAAGTAATATACAAGGAAGTCATGGAGGCACATCTGAGGAAGCAACATTTTGTCTTTTCATGAATGGAATTAATGCTCAGAAGGGGCTTCTTTGCCTACTTACCCTGGTAATGGAGGCCTGCTCACTCTCTATGGTGAATGTATCCTGCGTTATAAACTTTCTTACTCTGTAAACCTACCTTTCTCATCCTCAAAAAACTTTGTTTCCTGCTTCCTTAAAAATCAGAAAGTTTCAGATGGGTGGAGAAGACAGGCCTAGGTAAATAGCACAGCATGGAGTTTTGAACTATAGATTGTATTATGGTTTGCACTAAAATCTTCCTATGTCAGTATTCTTCTGCGTCATAGGGCTCGTTATTTCATTATATGAATCTACCATATACAATTCACTTAACTAAGCTCTTATTTTTTGACATTTTGGGTACAGAATTAACAAATAATGATGTATATTTGTTTCTAAATGTTTATACAGCCTTAACAATGCATGAGATATTTTTCTTTAGAATAAATTTAAATTCATAGTAATAGACATGTGAAGGCAAAAGATATACATATTTTTAAAGTTTGTTTTTTTTAAAAATTGTCAAATCGCACTCCAAAAAGGACATGCCAGTTTACACCTCCACCTATAGGGTACGAGAGAACCCATTTCCTATACTCTCATCAACCCCAACTGTTATCATTCCTTTTAATCCTTGACAAATTGATGGGCAAAGAGGGAAAAAGTATGTCTCTGTGTTTGTTTGTGTTTCTTTGCTTTCCAGTGAGATTCAACATTATGAAAATATTTTGAATTAAGCAATGACATATGAGCTGGTTAGTTTTTCATCCTCTGAAATGTACTAAACCAATGAAGAGAAGACAAAATGAAGGAAGGGATTCTGATTTCTATTTTTACTTTGCTATTTTTGGTTTGCTATAGAAATATAGACTTTTTTTGAGAGGAAGGCACATGTACATAAAAAATGGGAATTTTAGTAGTTGGAAAAGATTTTAGGAAGATTTATAAATTGTAAAATTTTACTATGAAGGCCATGCTTTTCAGTAATTACAGAATGTCTTTGTTGTCACCTAAATTTCATACTGCCTATAGATTTTAATAAAGAGAATACTTTCAGGAAGACTAGTTAAAAATAAAGATGGTATTTACTCATTCTAAATGTTGCTCATACCGTATGTATAAATGCTTTCTTCAACTGGTAACGTTTTTTTCTCTTTGTTCTTTCCTAAGGAAAAACTGGTCTACTTCCTGGATTGTTCTTTCTAGTCGAAAAATTGAATTTTACAAAGAATCCAAACAACAGGCTCTGTCCAATGCGGTAAATAATTCTCTATTTCTACTGTTAATCATCTTTTCAGAAATAGCGTTGTATTAAAAGTTTGGTTTTGTCAGAAATCACACTAGAACTTCCAAGCTACCAACATCTGAAATCAGATGGAGAAAATGACTCAATAAACTTTTAATCAGATGAAGGGAAATAGAACTTAGTGTCTGTTTTATTAAGTGGTGCATTTGGAGAATAATCACAAAATGAGATGAATGGTGAGCAGCTTTCTAGTAATGCGAAGGTAACACTTTAAATTAAGGTGCCATTTATAAATATTTTATTCTTATTTATGAAATGATCACTAAATGTAGCTACTTGCTCAAATAATGTATTATAAAGAATGTTATAAAATGCATTAGTAATAAATGCTTAACGGATGATACCAAGGGAAGCTGTTCTCAAGAATAAGACATAAATCGTATTAAACCATGTATGTGCATCTTTAATACATGAATTTAAGTTGTTATCTAGCATGCTATAAAGTGCTTCAGACATTAATAAATAATAATAAACTGTTCATAAATGGCACCTTAATATAGGGTGTTACCAATGAGGAAACACTCTACGTTAACAAAGTGATTTTTTTTCTTACTCTAACTGTGACATTCACTACATAAAGCTAACCTTTCTCCACGTTTCTGTGATTCCATCTAATGGAGCTAATGGAATTTCTTTATCCTGTAGTTATTACAAAGTGAAATTTGTAGGCTTTCTTCATTATACCTGGAGGAGGGACTCAGTATGCCTGCAGAGATTTAACAATGATAGCTAGTAAGTGGAGGCCATCAGAGCTATTTGTTGGGGGCAATTCAAGCTCACAACCTTGCTACCCCAGCCGAGAGCTGCTATGAGATGGAGAAGACAGTGGGCAGGGGACATATCTGACAGCCTCCTGATTAGGAAGGACTTCGTAGCCCATGGGCCTGATGGACAACAAGGAAAAGGGTCGCCTGGCAGGAGTAGACCACAATGAACTAATTTATATTTGGCAGGTAATAAAACGATGGCAAATTCTTTGCTCTCCAGCCACTGTTGTGTTTGCTATGTAATCCTCTTTAAATAGGAAATAGAAAATCATTTGCTAGAAGATTTTTTTTTTTTTAAAGAAGATTTTAGCAAGAACAAAAGGTAGCATTTGGCTTGCTTCTGATAATTGCAATAGCCTTTATCCCCAGGTGGCGTGCTGATTTTGGAGTCTCAGTGTGGGCCAATCTGTAAACTAATTATGAATAAATTAAAAATATATCTCAGTGCTTTGTATTTTTAATTCAAACTGCCTGAGAAATTTGTTTTAGTATTTTGTTTTGTTTTTATTTTTGGCTACAGGAAGGTTGAGATAATCTTTTTAAGAAAAATAAAGTACCCCTAAGGGCCAGGCACAAAACAACTCCCATCCACTTGCAGGGCCTTTGTCTTCCCTTTGAATAAGTTCTAAAGGGGAAGTCAGGAAGGAAGGAAAGTGGCTGGCCTTGCTGAGTTAGGCCGCTGAGAAGATGATCTTCATCCTGCTGAGTGAAAAGAATTCCACAGGGAGGAGAGTTTATGTGAATGTGTGGGATAATGGGAGAGATTAGATTCCATAGTAAAGCATTGGGTTTATTTTTATTTTATTATTTTAATCTCTTCCTAACAGGAGATATAATTATCAGCTGTTTACTTTTATACAGGTGAAAGAAAACTCCCTTTTAGATTGGAGGCAAACCCTGCAAGTTAGCTTACTAATTGCATCCCTCTAGTTCAACCTTCAGAATTATTGTAAATTGACAATAGACTTGACTTGTAGAGGAAATTGGTTAACGGGTTTTTTTTGTTTTTTTTGTTTTTTTTTTTTTTGGCAGTCCTTATTTATTACTTCTGGCCCTGTTTTCAATGCTTTGTACAGTTTCTCCAAAGCACTCATTGTCTTCAAAGGGAATTCAGGGCAGGAACTAACTGTTTTGTGGTAATGGGGAAGAGAATTACAGATTCGATTCATGTTTGTACGGCAGGAATTGTCTTGCTAGTCAACTTCTTGGATTCGTTTCTAACCAAGTATTAAAGGCCTAGTGGGATAGCCCACATTACCAGTTCTAGTCTCAGAGAAACGATACAATGATTGCCAGGCCTTGATTAAAGATGCTGTGGTTTTATTTTGGATGAGATGTATGCCCAAGTTTCTGAATTTCGCTTGCAACCCCTTATGCATGTCCTGGTGTTGTTAATTGTGCTTCTGGGAAAGTCTGTCCTTTCCTCCAAGGGGTTGATAGAAGTTGCCTGAGTTAGGAATGTGATTTAAAAGAGTAAATGGTATTTTAATCTTTATACAGATGATCTTGAATGTTAATGCTGTGGTGAAACAAAGCAGCAAAGTAGCTAGAGCAGAGTTTTGAAGTCGGACCTCAGGGGATATAATTCTAGGAGCTGACAAAGTTGCTGACTTCTTTGAACTTCAGAATCCTCACCTATAAAATGAGAATGGTGACATTTGACAACAGAAAAAATAAGGAATAAAATTAATTAATAAAAACAAAAATACATAATGGCCATAAAATAATTATGGTCTATTAAAAATAAATATTTTGGCTGGGCTGGTGGCTCACACCTTTAATCCCAGCACTCTTGAAGGCTGGGGCAGGTGGATTGCCTGAGCTCAGGAGTTCCAGATCAGTCTGAACCAGAGCGAGACCTCATCTCTAAAAATAGCTGGGTGTTGTGGCAGGCACCTGTAGTCCCAGCTACTTGAAAGGCTGAGGCAAGAGAATCTCTTGAGTCCAAGAGTTTGAGGTTGCTGTGAGCTATGATGCCAGAGCACTCTACTGACGGTGACAAAGTGAGACTCTGTCTCAAAAAAAAAAAAAAATACATAAATAAATATATTCTATTGGTACATGATATAGAATATAGCATAATTATAACATATTATTACCCTATGTTAATTTTGCATTTGAACTGATTCAGACATTTATACAAGGGAGAATTATATTAATTATGGAGATTACATAATGCATGGCCTCCAGAAATGGAAATATGTATCTGTAAGCAGCATAAAATGTTGTATGTGAGCACTAATACGGAAAATGAAGCCATCTATCCATCTGGGGCTCTCAATGTAACTTCCTGCATATGAAGTTCCCAGAGCCCTTATTTTCTTCCCTTGGCTCTTACCCTTACTGTTTTCACATTTAATATAGCATATCACAAAATGATCCCACATTCCATGTTTGGCTCCCTTTCTTTCTGAATGAAGTTCTTTTAGTTCATATCTGTCTTATTCACTTAGAACTTCTATAACAGAATACCAGAAACCAACCAGTTGTTTTAAATAGCAGACATTTATTTCTCACAGTACTGGGGGCTGGAAAGTCCAAGATCCAGGCACATAGCAAATCAGGTGTCTGATGAGGGACTGCTTCCTGGTTTCCATTTAGCCATCTTCTCACTGTATCCTCACACCACAGCAGAAAGTGAGACAGGAAAATTTTATGGCTCTTCATATTAGGTCACTAATTTGACTCTTGAGGTCTCTATTTTTATAACCTAAGTATCTCCTAAAGGGCTCACCTTTCAATATTATCAAATTGTGGTTTAGAATTTCAACTTACGAATTTTAGGGGAACACAAATACTCATTTTACAATACCCAAGTCACATTTTTATCCAAAGCAGCTTTCCCCTGAAATAACCACAGAATCACTTCACTGATACGTGTAGATTAGAGAATTATAGGCTGTTATTCCTCAGTGGCCTATTAAAAGAGATAGCAGACTGACCTCTTCTGGTTTTGTTTTTTAATAAGGACATTACATAGTAACCTGCCACGTACTATCATCACCATTTTATAACAGAGAGGACATTATAAAATACTCAATCCAAAATCGAGGAAGGATAAAATCTCAGAACGAACACATCTCTTTCAAGACACGAAACTATACATCTATATACATAGCCTTATTTTGCCCACTTTATCTCAAACTAAGACAAACTTTATTCAGAGTTTGACTAGCCTTCCAGTGAGGAAGACTGCTAGTGTCCCTAGATACAGTTTTCCTGGATTATGAAGGAAAGGATGGCTTTCACATTCTCATAGATTTTCTTTTGTAGATATGCATATATACATATACATATTCTGATCCATAACTCACTAAAGGTTCTAAACAAATATCATAAAATAATGTAGGAATCATTTTTTAGTAAAATGTATAAAATACCTATGTAATTGTAAACAGTTATTAGTTACCTACATAAGCACCACCCACAGCAAGATATAAACCCTCTCCACCTTCTAGAAGCCCCATTTCTATCATTGTCCCTTGGCCATCACCACCTCTTCTTTTCCTCTGGAGTTAGGAAGATAACTTGCATTTTACTCATTATTTTATTGTTTTAATATTTCTCTACCTATGTCTATAGCCCTTAAAATATTAATATAGTCTGATATATATAATTATAGTATTTATTTCTTCTTTTGCTATGTCTGTCTTGCTTTCTCTGCCCTTTAATACTTTATCATTCCATGTTTTTCTCTACTACTTTGGGAGGGACATACTTTTTTCTCTTCTGTTAGTAGTTAGCCTAGGATTATAAACTGGCACATAGCAAAGACTAAACTCAGTCAAATCCTTTACTTTCTTCCAAGATATTACTTCAGAATATTTTTAATTCACTTATCTCCTTCCCAATGTATATGTTATTGCTATCTAGCATTTTACTTTAACACCACTAGACATTCTCTTTTATAGAGTGAAGGTTGATTTATATTTGCTCAATGTTTGAAGCATTCTTTGTTATTTATTTCTTTCTGAATCTTAATCTTGCATTCTAGAATTATTTTTCCTTCTGCTTCAAGTGTATTCTAAGAAATCCTTATATTAAAGGTCTTATGTTGAAAATGTATCTCAGTGTCTGCTTATTTGAAAAAAAATATGTATTTTTCCCTCATTTGGGAAATACATATTCTCTCTGGATATAGAATTTTGAGTTGGCAGTCATTTCTTTTAGCTCATCAAAAATATC